TTAATTCTAATTTTATATTTTTTTAATATTTTTTATTTTTTTAATATTTTATATAATAATTTAAAGTTTTTTATAATTTTAAAGTACATTTTTATTTTTTGTGATTAAATTTATAATTATTTTTTATGTTAAATTAACTAAAAGCAGAGTTCACTTAAAAAAATATTCTAATATTTTTTAGTATTCTAATTTTTTTATAAGACAAAGATCGGTGGATTTTCAGACCTAAAACTAGAACCCTTGCCGCATTTAAGAGGTTAGTTCAATTTGTACAAAAGGGGACAAGCCTAATAAATTTTGTAACTAGAACCCTTGCCGCATTTAAGAGGTTCGTTCAATTTGTACAAAAGGGAACAAGCCTAATAAATTTTGTATCACTAAACATGACATGCATTAATTCATGGATGATTATTGTCAGACTCGCAAATATCAACAGGTTACATGTTTTCAATATAACACGAAATGGAACGGTTTTACCCTCAAAAGTTACCTAGAGAAAAGCAGAGGCTCTTACTCATGAGTGATGAATCATTGATTTAAATTTGGCATAGATTTTATGGAAAAAAAATTTAAAGAGGAAAAGAGAGAGAGGAGAATTTCAAATTCAATTCATCATATGCCATGTAAATACATTTATTTTTAATTATAAAATAAAAAATAACCATTTTTTATCTTTTATTTTTTATTTTATTTCACCTGCATAACATACAATTTGAACTCAAAATTTTTTATTTTTAATAAAAACAAATAACTACTGAATTATTTAAATTATTTCTAACATTTTTTATTTAACTGATTTTACCAGACAGAGTTGAACCCATGAAGCTACACAATGGCTGGGAAAAGAATGCAAAAAAGGTATACAGGGATATACTAAAACTTCTATCTAGCCTGTAGCATTGAAATAGTTAGTTCATTTCCTGTGTCCATGTTCCAGCTAATTGATGAAGAGGTATTTTCGTTGAGAAACCTACTTGTGTAGAATCCAGGTTGTTTAGGTTGCGGCAATGGAAGTTGTTCACTATCCAGCATCAACAGAACCAAGGATATTGAAGGCCTGTCTTCGGGATGCTCTTGCACGCACAGGAGGCCTATCTGGATGCATCTCAAAACCTCGGATTTGACAATTGATTTCTCCATCAGAGCATCCACAAGCTGCAAGGCCTTGTCTTCATTCCATAAATTCCACGCCTAAATGATTCAGATAATCAGGTAAGAGATGAGAAATGTAGTTGGTATCAAATGTAAAGGTAAGATAAAAGTTCTAGGCTTACATGTCCTAAAAGGTTGAGCTCATGGTTGGGATCATAAAATCCTCTGTTCCTCTTCTCGCTCACTATCTCGACTAATATCCATGAATCTTTAAACATTACCTTTTCTCCACTTGTATATTGTCCTCAAATAACAGCTTATTACACCCAGCAACAGGACCCAGAAATCACGGAGACAATAATGATGCTGTCCTTCTTTTGGCCTTGATTTCAGATCCTGTAATTGTCAAACATAAATTTCACTCTCCTTAAAACTAAAACAAAATGTCATTCATCTCATACATAGAATTTAGATTCAGAAAAAAATACTTACCAAGTTCAGAAGCATCCATTTTAATGTACAAATCATGTCCGCCTTCAATATACTCTCTCATGTCAAGCAAGCCCCCTGTATTTGCTCTGAATTGTCCAATTTCTGGTGGTCGTATTAGCACTCTGAGATGATAGCATTATGGGAACCCTTTTTTTCTTCTCTGTTGCGTCACTACTAAATCTTGCATAAGTTAGGTCTTTTTCCTTGCCATTTTCTTCTCTTTTCTCTTAATTCAAAGGAAATCAGGACTATTGGTAATGTAAACCACCATAGCTGTCTCCAGTCAAGGGGTGGTGTTGAAATCCACCATTTAGTGATCCGGTGGAGCCTAGTTCCTTCATCTAACTGTTTTTTAAAAAGCTCATCATTTTTTTTTTTTTTTTTTTTTGAAATTGGCAAAAGCCTCAATCTGGGCCTAGAGTTGAAGACTTCCTTCCATCATGACTTGCCCCAGCCCAAAGAAGAAGCTGCCTGTTGGGTCTTGGCTCAGTGGGGTGCACCGCAAAATCCTCCTGGTCCAGTCTGGTACTTTGATCTGCACACATAAGGACCAAGACACAAGACAGGAATTAGCATGACCATCCTCAATCTCCAAAGTAAAATAATGTTGTCAGATGCAAAGCATCCCAGATTTACTCACCAACAATGCTGTCTCCTAAGGAAGCAGTAATGAATAGATGGACCTCCCATCGCATTGGAAAATTTTCAATCTGAAATGTTCTTTTCTTGAATCAAGAGTAATGGAGTAGTTTGTTTGCATGAGGTGATGATGTCTTTGTCCGAAAAAAGAGGAGAGATTGAAGGATTAAAGACTGAAAAGAAAGGAAGAAATCTAATTGGACCACCATAAAAAGCTTCCCCTACTTGATTTCCAATTCAAAAAAGAGGAAAGCGCACACTTTGCCACTCTGCATGGATGTTTGCACCCACTAGATGCAAACATCTTTCATTTGGGGGTCGATTCTCACTCAGCATTTCCTTCTTCTTGTGATAGTGAGTGGTGCTTGCTTGAGTAACCGAATGACTTTTATACCCTTTTGATTGCTACAAATTTTCAGATTGGATTTTCAGATTGGATTTTCAGAGTGGAAAGGTATTCTGGATATTTATGTGATTCTTAATGTATTTATGGTAATAGTAATAATTTCATTTCAATTGAGTCATATGCATACCGGTAAGATATGGATAAAGAAATAGAGAAAAATATTTTTGGTTGTGTCACTCAAGATATATTTTATTGTAGTTTTTTTTTATTATTTTAGATTGTATAATAAAAAGTAATTATTTTTTATTTTTTAATTAATCCTACTTTATGTTATATCATATAATTTAAATTTAAAATTTTTTATTTTTATTATAAAAAAATTATTATTGAACTAATTAAGATATTAACTTTTATTGTAGCATGTTAAATTTAAAATATAATAATCTTACTAAATAGGTAATTTGCATATTTTACATTTCTTATCTTCTTTTTTTGTCATAACAAAAACAGTATATACTCAAAATATCAATATAATTTTTATTTTTTTTAAGTGTGATGGGGGAGGGAGGAGGCTATGTTTCTGCTCAAACCCTACGCACCATCCCAGAGGGAGACGTGGTGCGCTAACAATGTGGGTTTTTTTCTCGATCTAAATTTCCTTTCACAAAAGCAAACCACCAATGAAATTAAAAAGAAACTAGAAAAGAAAGCCATGAAATTTTTGTTTAAAAAAAAAAGAGAAGAAAGGAAAAATGGGTTTCTTATCATTTTCCTTTTAAGATACTTTTGGAAATTGAAACATGGGAATAAGAATGAGTTATGGCTTAGGCATATGGATTCTCGGTTAAAATAAGCGAGAAAAATGTACAGAGAAAAAGATAAAAGCAGTGATGATGTGAGGGCCTAGAGAAAAAAAAAAAAGGAGAAAAAAAAAAACATTTTCATGCTTCGAAAGTTACCTTTCTCTCAACATTTTTCATTAATGACAATAAAACCCAGATTCCCAGAACCCCATGCGTCTCCAGGGTTAATCATGGTAATTCACATCCTAATTAACGCCCTGTTGGTGTCAAGGGAAATGCTACAGTTACGGAGCTATTGAATCACGAGCCTCTGCTACTTGTCAAATTTGATACAAGGTCCACGTCACCGACTGAACTGTTTCAAGCATCAAGCTTCATAAATTAATTATTATTAAGTGTGTGTAATATTCTAATAATAATTAAAATTTAATCATAACGATATCATATTATTTTTCATCACTTTTACCTCAAATTGTGCTGGTTGAAAAAAGATTGGACTGTTTCAATAGTTAAAGACTCAAAACCATGCAAAAGTCCAAATTCGTGTACCACTCCTAGTAATGACATCGTGTGAAAAAGAACTTGTGAAAGTGATCGCTTTCTATTGGCAA